CTACCCGCAATCTCTTATCTATAATGTTATTGATTTGATTTACGATATTACTGCTAAGTACGATAAACTTAGTCTTCAAGGAATTTGAAATTAAGGCATTTTTAGCAGACCAAGCAGCAATTACTTTCAAGTCATCGTTCATGCGTGATTGCGCTTCGTGTAGGTTATTTGGGTATACTGGTATGTATAGCTGAACGTCATCCGCGTAACAATGGTATCTACAATGTGTACCTTATTGTTTTACATCATGAACAGTATTGGCCCCAATAAAGATCCTTGAAGGACCCCTCGATTAACCGGAAGAACGTCGGAAACAACACGGGCTCCGTCCGGCCTGGACAACCTGACAGCCGCGAGCATACTTCAACGTAACTCTCAAACCATTGCAACGCAGAATCATTCGAATTGAAGTAAGGCTTTCACCCGTATTTACTCCACAATATCCACAGACTTTGTGAAGTAATGAAGTCGTGTTATAACTAACACATTTCCGTAATTTTCGGGAAATTTCCATCTAAAGCTTTTTTTCCTTTGAAAAACATAAATTACGTAAATAATTTTGCTAAACAATAAAACTAAAACTAAATAAGGTATATAAATACCGCTGATAGGGGGTTGTAGATCTAATTTCTCATGTTATAAACTCGCTAGCCGACCGCCTCCATCTACTTTGAATGGACCTGTCGTCCAATTTCAACTTCGGCAGACACATTGAATCCACTGCCAAAAATGCAGCAAGAAAGCTTGCATCCTTTCCAAGTTGAGGCGTTACTTTACGCCGGGACAGCTTCTCTAGCTGTACCAAGCACAAGTCCGGACGTGCATGGAGTACTGCGGCTCTGCTACATATCAACTGGCCACCTTGGATTCAATTGACAACCGTGCCACTAGACTTATATTGAGCCTTGAACATCGCCGTAAAGTTGCTTGCTTATCGGAACTGTACAGGATATATCACGGAGAGTGTGCGATGGTATTACACGATTTCATTCCGCCTTCCTCCTTCCATCATCGGGATACTACACGTAGGCTTGGGTACCACCCCCTATGTTATGGATATTCCAAAGATTCGCGCGAAGCGTTACGCTTCCACGTTTATATGGCGAACGGCTATGGCGTGGAATTCTCTGCCTGCAGACTTGTTCCCTGAACGTTATAAGTTGGACCTTTTCAAGGCGAGAGTGAATAGGCATTATTTAGGTGAGCATGCTCCATCGTCGACTTCATCGTCACTTTCCATCAGGTGAGATGGATGGATGCGCACTTACATTTTATATTAAAAAAAACTGCTAAAATGTCGATTACGTTAGTTATGATAAGGAGGGAAGTATAGATAAGCAATATGACATAAATTTCTGAGCACTACGTACGGAAAAGCGAGTTTTCAAAATTTGTCTTACCAAGAATCGGCCCCCGGGGCTTTCTCATCAAGAGCTCACTCGTTTATTTATATATCGAAATAAGCTTGCTAATACGGCGAATAGCGCGTTTCTGTGTGGCTTTTAAGCTTGTTCAACTCCAGAGATTCGGAGATTACAACTAATTTCTTAATCCCGACGACTTTCTCGCTAGGGTTGAAAACTTGTAATTACAAAAATACGCCGTCCTGATAGGACTTCGTACGTTGCGATACGGGACCCGCGAAAAGAAACTTCTGTGGAGCTGTTATTTATATATTATGTCGGAGCAACGTCTTCAATCTGTATATAGGAACATTCATGGTAACTACACGTTCCAAACAAAACACTATGAATAATGAATAATGTTTTGTTTTATTGTTGAATTTGGTAACCTATCACAAACTCGAATTTGTTTTTACCGAAATAACGTCTGTTCGAATTCTCATTACACCTAAAACCGAATTATAACGAAACCGTTGTACTTTCAGAATACGTTGGATGTTTATCGCAAAGACACGATTAGGTTCGATTAGGTTAGATTAAGTTAGGTTTAAAAGAAAAAAACATTTTCCTTTCAAAATTACTTTCGAGGTTAAGAAAATTCGAGCAAACGTTTTTTCTGAAAAATGTCATTTCGGACTTCTGATAGGTAACCGTTGAATTTTGTCAAAGATATCGTTACCGTAATAACGTGGACAGATATGACAGTCTATACCTATAGGGAATTAACTAGGCAGGCAGATAATATTGAGTGTTTACCAATGAGATTTATACATAGTTAGGGAATTAACGTAAAGCCCCTGGCAAAGTCGTTATTAGTTGCACAATACATTCCATTTTGCTTTGAACCAGGGGCCTTCCGTTTAGGTACTATTTGTAATTATTACATTACTAAAAAGGAAACAAATTAAGTAAAAAAAAAATACAGTGCAGTTGTTGAAAATGTTGATGTTATGTTCATACTTTACCTTGCGTCTTTAGATCATGCAGCCTAGTGTTTTTTATATTTTTTAAATTTACATAAGGGACCCTTAATAACTGTTATAATCATAATTATACATACTCTGCAATTGTGTAGTCAGAACACTCTGTTGCTTATTAATCTATGATTTAAGTTTTGTCTTGTTTTAACACGCATCATTACATGCTTGCAAAACGAGATGGATAGTATGAAATTTTGTATACTATTTCGCGATTATCAAATATTATAATACGCAAACTAATCAAGAACTACAACATTACTTTAGGAAATGAAACTGTTTATAACCTACTTCAAAAAAGGAGGAGGTTCTCGATTCGACTGTATGTTCTTTTTTTTCTTTTTTTCGTATGTATGTTACGCGATAACTCCGGTATTTGTGAACCGATTTTCATGATTCTTTTTTTGTTGGAAAGGGGGTACTGCCATAGTGGTCCCATTTCATTTTGAAGAAATCATCCACCTTTAAGGGTGGCTGTTCACGCATGAAGATTTACTTTTATAAATAGCGCCTAACTTTAATTTAGGAGCAATTACTTTAATGGTTGATTTTGCTACTTCTCCAATTCAAAGTGTTTTTCTCTCAATATACTTTGAATAGTGAGAACCGACTTTTTATTATCTCCAGTGTCAAGTCCTGTATAGTGGCGAACTAGGGGATATTTCAATAAAACTTAGCAAATAGACGTAATTCCACGTACTTTTGAGGTCGGTTTTTTAGTACTCTGTACTAAGATTATTCCGGAATAAAATCGCGTATATTTGTTTTTCCAAACAAACCAAAGTTTCGGACCCTTTACAGGTCACAGGGTTGACTCCGTGACCATGGGACCTGTAAATGTAATAGTAAATGTATTCAAGTGTATATTACAAAGAGCGAGCCGTAGAGTTTCTTCTTTTGCTCATTCTTCTCAGCGGAATCTGCCCTACGAATGAGCAGTAGAGTTTAATCAGTGTAATTTGTTTACCTATGAAATGAAGATTATTTTATTATGCCTTTGACTTCACTACAACTCCCATAGTCGGGGGTTAATAATATTTTAAGTATGAATTACGTTCTTTCGAGTTAAATACCGACTCCAATGCATCCTTGTTCCTCATAAACGCCACCCACCTGTAGCGCGCCGGGAGATATAAGCCTCCGCAGCATAGTGCTGCGTTCACTCAAGACCCGCTCACGCTGCCATCAGCAACTGGCATTGACGCTGACACAGACCATACTGACGCCAAAAACATTAACATAAGGTAAGTGCGCTATTTATTGAAAAAAAAAAAGGAAATAAAACTATTTTTCTGGATTTAAATCGCGTATATTTGTTTTTTCAAACAAACCAACGTTTCACGGTTGACTGAGGTGGTACAATCATCAACCAGTTATGTGTAATATTGATGCAAACCACCTTATTTTTTTATTATAGCTGCAAAAGGTTATTATTTAAATATCTGCCTTATTTTTAATTTTAAAAAGAAACATTGAGATTTACGCTACGTAATGTTTTACAAATTATTTTACTTCAACAATGATTTTTTATTAAGTTAAATTATTAATTAATAATGAAAATTCGAATAAATGAAAACATATTAGTTAGTACTGCGGGCTCATGTCTGTTTGGGATTTTTCATCAGAGGAAATACTGGATCCCAAACTGGAGGTACGTAGAAACCATCCCTGTTAAAATTAGGATGTTTTTTAATTTCAATGGCCTCTTGCAGCATCCTGGGTAGATAACGGACTTCTTTTGCAAGGACCTGGGGTTTGTCAGACTTCGTATGTGTAGGTTTATCCATGACATGCTCGCAGAATGCATACTTGTTTACGCGACGGTGTCTGACATCAGCTATATGTTCTTTGATGCGGGTACAAATACTTCGCTTCGTTTATCCAATATACTGAACCGCATTTGACTGTGAAAGCTTGTAAATTCCGGCGTCCGGTAAGAGGATGTTACTTTTCACGGGTCTCAGGAACAGAGAAATATTCCTCAGGGCTTGAAATAGGTCTTGATAGACGCACGCCTAAGGACTATTCCGATCTTGTCTGTAACACCTCTCATTAAATCCGGAAAAACAGTTTCTTTTCCTATGTGTAACAATCGCGAAAACCTAAACTCGATTATCCCTTGCTATATTTGTGAATAACATAACCTTAGGTACAACATTTGTTCAACCATGAGGTGGAGACCAGGCGTCCTACACACAGGACTTTCCTAGTTGAGGCCCTCTCTCACAATGCTTTATATGTATGCTCTGTTCCCTAACTTTAAAACATTTATTGTGGGAGAAATAAACAAATATTATTTTAATTCGTTTTCGATTAAAATAGCGAATTTACACTTTAAGTTTTCTAATTACCACGTTATTTGTGACCATGGAGCGAAATAAAAACAAATAATACCTATATCATGGTACGAAACCTGTAATTAGTAATAATTATATAGTTAATAACCATGAAAGCCTTAAAATCTGTACATGAAGTTTTTATGGATTATCTCAGTAAAGAGTACTAAAAAAACCGACCTCAAAAGGTCGTGGAATTACATCTATTTGCCAGGTTTTATTGTAATCGGTTACAGGAAAGTGCGTGAAATCGGACTCATCTCCTGGTTTGCCAGGAACATTTTCTTGAAATTTAAATGGGACCAATTCTCAGAACCCTCTTTCCAACAAAAAAGAATCATCAAAATAACGATTCACAAATGCCAGAGCACCCGAAAAAAAAATACAGTCGAATTGACAACCTCTTCCTTATTTTGAAGTCATTCAAAAATGGTTTACAATTAACTATTTAATTTGCATTTAACATACAAACCAAACAAATGTAGTTAAGAAAGCTAGTTCAAAGTACAAAAAATTAAATATGTGAATTTAATACATTTTTTTTATAGTTTATTGGTTCACTTACAGTTAATATATAAAATACAATGTAACATACTATAAATTCAGTTTGGTGAAGTTCTTATCTAAATTGCACAACTACTTATGAGTGAACACAGCTTGCAAAAACAACGTAAAACGTAAATTATATAGAATTTAAAAACAGGAACTTAAAATTAAAAAAAAGAAAAAGTAATACAAACAAAACCAATAAATACAAGTGAACAAGGGTCTCGGATAGCATCAAACTAGATGGGGCAAAAATAATTAATTAAGGTTTAACATAATACTAATATGAAATTTCTATAATAAATATATCGCAAACGTGACTGTGCTTATTATATAGTCTACAGAGCCTTGGGATACAGGAATCATAGCCCAGAACGGTCTTAAGTAGCAAACCTAAGGTATCTTGAGGGAATTTTGAAATTAATTTAGCTTACAGTCCTGGACAGTCTATGTACGAACGCAAAACCTCATAAAGAAATATTAAGTCCAATAATTCCCCCCTCTCTGCAAGCGATAAAATTTTAATATGCGCAACCACATTTAAAATTAAATAAAAAAATAATTATGATTCAACTAACAAACTTGATACTTGTAACGAATGTTATGAATATAATAAAAGAAACTAGGAGGCCCTGAGTTCTATTACTGCCAAAACCAATTTGCCAATCGATTGGTTCTGGTCTAGATGTTCCGGATATAGCCCTAAAATAATTTTACTCTAGTAATTCTAGTACAGGGACTTACCTAGTTTAAGAAAGAGCCATCGGTGCGGTTATCTGGCTCTATTATTATTACTAACCTTCCTTTTCTACATATTTTTATAAATTGTAATCGTTCTCTCATTTCCTTTTCTTTGTGGCTCTAGATTCCACACAAATTTCATTCAAAGTGTATTCCATAGCATTTAAGTTTATTTGAAAAGAGCAATCCCTAGAGTTTCCTGCTCGTCCTTCTCAGATAGGTCAGCGCAGTGAACGAGCAGTAGCTTAAATGTTTTTTTTGTAATATCTAGCGATTGTCCATAATAGTTGCAGTGCCACTCAGAGCTTTAAATCGCAAATATCTGAGGGGCACTGCCACTGCGCTTGTCATACTGAGACATAAGTTGACAAGTCCCATGTACCTGTGATTTCACCAGTACACGTACGCTTTAAAACTGGAGCACCTTAATGCTTGCCGGCAGAAATAGGTAACGTGGCAGTACTTCCCTGGACTAACATCTATGGAATAAAGATTCTTTGACTTTGACTATATCGTTTTTCTTATAGTTGAAATCATTGCAGTCAATATATTAATAATTATAACTTTTGAAAAAACATACCCTTAGAGGTGGAATATTTTGACCGAAATTGAAAAGGACCACTATAGAAGTACCCGCTTTTCAGCAAAAAACGAGTCATCGAAATCATGAAGAGTCCAGGATAGGAATGAGGAGAATTTTAGGAAAAAATGTTTTTTAATTTGAAAACTTTTAAATATTGGCGAAAAAGACACGCACAAATATTGAAATATAGTCAATGCTGACATAAATGTGTGTAACATATGTATGTATGTTACACACATTTATATCAGCATTCTATGCTATGAAATGTAATCCATTTTAACTAAAAATATTTATAAATCTTTTTTAACTTTTCTACCAATTAGTCGTAAGCATTTTTATGACTATAAGTAAAAGCTAATTTTTCAGGACATTGAATCTTATTAGCCTTTTTTTATTTAGGCAAATTGCATTTTGCTAATTGGTCAGCATTTACCGAACTGGATTTCGGTGCTAACATAAAACGTGTCTTCGATTATTCATTTCCTGGTCTCTTCAAATGTCGAAAAAAATATAGCCGAATTCAGAATCTCCTCCTTTCTTTACGTCGGTTAAAAATGTAAATTTAATTCCAAAAAAATACTCAATGTCTTATTCTTTATACTTAATGAAAACTATTACAATAGAAAAAAATAATGCCATAAATAAATAACCATTATAATTTACAAAAATAATACCATTCTAAGCTTTGTACGAGAAAAAACTTAAGTCGAAGGGAAATTGAACTCCAACTTTTCGTTTTGAAGACAAAATATTCAATAAAATATTTAAGAGAGCGATTTGACCCTAGTGGGCGCACAATCGATTTAGAGCTTAATTTAATTTCATATGTAACGTAGATTGTTAATATTTGATAGCAACAATATTGTCATCGAAACAAAAAGTACAATTTACATTTTTAAAAGGGGAGTTAATGAGTTTGAAACCTTTGTTTGGCCCATCAAACTACAATAGAAAAAGCTCTACGTATAATGTATACTACATTAACACGTTCGTCGCCAGCTAGAAATTCCAAAATTGTTAAAGAAATTACATTGGCTTACATCAAGTATATAACCAGAAATAGAGACGAAATGTCTTTTAATTTGTTTGAAAACTATCCTGCCAAATTATTACGGTGACAAGTGCGCTCTGGTTGGCCAGCCCGTATTCGAAACAATTGACGGTTGTCGTCATTGTTTCACTTCAAATTGACCAGTTTAACTTTAGCTTTGATATAATGGACTTGTTGACGAATGGATTTCGTTTGTTTTGTAATTAGATGTTTTGCTGTTTTTCCCACACCACTGAATGGAACATAGTTAGCCCCACATAGTTAGAGATATTGTCTTTATTACAATAAATACAGAATATTTTTGGAATATACAGAGACGTACACACAGGTCAGTTGTTGGCTTTTTTTTATTTCAGCTTTCTAATTTGTGATTTCAAAGCAAAAGAGAGTTGACATTTAAAAGTGATATAATGCCCATTTGCATGATGAGTTGCCAGGGATGTGTAGCCCTTATTTCGTCTCTATTTCAGGTATATACTCGATGCTAACACTAACTAAAAATTTGCTGTCCGATTTTGATGATTCTTTTTATGTTGGAAAGAGGTTACCTCATTATTGGTGGCATTTAATTTTGAATAAAATATTTCACCTCTAAGGGTGACAAATTAGGGGCTGAATCCGGTTTCGCGCACTTTCCGGCACCCGATTTCAATAAAACTTGGCAAATAGATGTAATTCCACGAATTTTTGAGGTCGGTTTTTTAGTACTGAGTGTATGTTCACCATATTGCTCTATTTTGGTATTTTTTTTAGTGCCGGGCATTTCAATCCGACGAGGCCTAAACGGAATTATAGTAACGTTTAGGCCGCGCCGGTCACAATGCCGGGTAGAGTGCGTACACGCAATGTTCGATCAATGTTTACCTAAAACTGACATACGTCTTTGATTTTAGATTGACATTTTATATTAATCATTATTTTCTTACTTCGTAACTTTTACATTCATCTTGGATTTTTGTATGCCGTAAAAAATATAAATGCCAAGTA